ATTATAAACTTTAACCAAATGGATCATTTTCAGCTAAACCTGAGAAAACAAAGATTTTTCTTTCTGTTTTTATAAAAACTTCCAAAATTAAAACATTCAGTCTCTTCATGACCAAACGTCTGCAGCTGGTCCAGGTCTGGACTCAGGTCTGGACTCAGGTCTGGACCCAGGTCTGGACTCAGGTCTGGACCCAGGTCTGGACTCAGGTCTGGACCCAGGTCTGGACTCAGGTCTGGACTGTTCTGAAACAGTTTCTCTTTATTCTGCTCCATTCATCGAGCCCTGCATCTGTTATTGACCATTTTCACAGGAAACACATGCTTTTATTTTGAAGAGAAAGGAAGTGAGGTCAGAGYAGATCTGGTGAAGAAACACTGACGTTCAGCCGAAGCCTCGGCTCTGTAGCTGCTGAAAGCTAAACAAAAACAATATGTGATGCAACTTTAAAAGACACACAAGCCGAACAGTAACTAAAAGCTAAAACTGCAGCTAAATACAAAATGTTGCTAATCTGTAGCCGAAGCTAAAATAAGCAATGACTCGGCTTAAATATAAAAAACACAACTGTAGCTAAACTTAGCTACATATAGTGAAGAGCTGAGTCCAGCTAAACAGGAGCTAAAAGCTACAATTAGCAAAACATGGCTAAAGCTTAAAACAAGCAAAACAGTATTAAAACTAAAGACGGCACAGTTGTAGCTAAAAACTAAAAGCAGCAAAACAGCTAAAGGACAGCTTGAACTGACTGATGCTCAAAAACTGAAATCTGATCAGATTCTTAGTTTGATTTGACTCAATTTGTTCTTATTTCAAGAATCTTAAGTAAAATGTTCTRKCTCCACTGACAGAAATGTTTGACTTAATTWGAGTCAAATGTTCAGACTAAAGACAAATAATCTGAAAACAAGATGATTATTCTTACACAATCAGTTCTTGTTTAGTAAATCAGTCTGAAAACAAGATCAAAAAGACTTTTTTTTTACTGGATATAAGGTTTTAAAACTTGGTAAGATGGACAGTTTTTGCTCCTCTGACCCTCCTGCTGAGGAGCTGCTGGGAGTTGTTGGCTGACTGGTCCTCACTGGTGTGTCTAASCTCTGCTGGTGTTAAAGTCACTCTGTAAAGTATTTGTTTACTCTGGACTTACCTGTTAAATCTCGTTCCCTCCAGGTGAGAGCTGCTCCACCAAGTCCGTCCCCGACCTGTCGGTTCCTGTTCAGGACAGATCCTCTGTCASCAGGTCCCTGTGAACCGAGGGAACTCATTGGGACTAAAAGCCCTGCCTGCTGGCCTCCTGTGGACTCACCTGTTGGACCCTCTGAGCCACCTCACCTGTTGGACTTCCTCTGTACCACCTCACCTGTTGGACCTCCTCTGTACCACCTCACCTGTTGGACCTCCTCTGTACCACCTCACCTGTTGGACCTCCTCTGTACCACCTCACCTGTTGGACCTCCTCTGTAC